TGAGACATCTCCAAGAAGTTGGAGAAAGTTCAGAAATTAACACAAAAGGAAGAGGAAGAGTCACAGGGTAGTTCGATCACGGGATTTATGATATATATATATATATATATATATATAATTTTTTTATACTGTACTGTACAACAAGCCAAACACATATCTTGGCTGTTAACAAACATGAGACAAATAACTTATTTACCTGTGGAGAAGTGTTTGTCGTCCCAGGTTCCTCAGGATCCTCTGGTGTGAAGTCGTGGGAGTCGGCTGTCTCTACTTCGGTCACCTCAGGTAGCGGCTCCCTGCTCCCAGAAATTGTCTTCAAGAAGACTTTCAATTTCACCTTCCTTAATCCCCGTTATAAATCTTGTGATAAATTCACATGGCAGCTTTAATATTAGAGAGCATCGTGGATTATTTCCTGTTAGAGTTTGGTAAGATGCCATTGTGATGGTTTCATGGTTGTTGCTGGTCAATGTCCACTGTGCATATCGTACACCATAACTCCACTAGGCACATTTATTATCACGCATCCAGGCTATAAATTTTGCCTTTAAATGAGCATTACTTCGTTCAACAGAGCCCTGACTCTGGGGATGATACTCATGTATTACCTGTACAGTAAATTCCTTACTATTGTCTGATTGGATGACAGGTGGAGCTCCTGAGTCAGACAGTAACTAGTTCATGTGCCACCTCAACCACTGTCTTAGATTTCAGCGGACGGATTATGTGAAATTTAATTAAATATTCAACGTGGTGCAATATAAAACGGTAACTCCCATCTTTTAAGGTTGGCATATCAACGAGATCCATCTGGTCACACTCACTCACAGAGGAGGACCAACGACTCCTGAAGCTGTGTCCTGTTTGCATCTTTTCTCTCCCGTTGCTGTATAAGAGAACGTGGGATATTGTCAAACTGGTCTTACAATTTTTTTTATGCTTTCTTCACACCTCCATGACCAGCTACAGCGTGTAATCTATGGATTATGTTCATTACGGGATCCATTGTTTCCAAGTATATTTGCCATTACTTTTGGCAGCGTTATCTACTCCACCAAGAGAAACCAGTGTAAACCTTTTAGTATGTAATATTCCTCTCTCGGCAGCTTTTTTCCAGTCTTTCTGCACTTTAAAGCCTGGATAACTTTCCGTTCGTACTCAACAATCCACAGTGTTGCATCCATCAAGCTCTATGTTGTTCCTTGACCACCGAAGGGTCAAGACGTACCTGGCGCTCCTTTCCGAGCAGCCAGGTCAACTGTTAAGTTGGCCCATACCAACCCCCTCCCCTGAACCCTCCTCCCCACCGGAATATCAACAAGTTCTCGCCAGAAGTTGCAATTTCATTTAGGAAAGGAACGGAACCAGTGTTAAACAGAGGTGAACAGTGGTGAACAGTGCTTAAGTCAGTGAGAACAACTCAACAGTAACAGTCGTACCCAAGTTAACTTTCACACAGTGAGGTCCCAGGTACCCAGTGATAACGGCCCGTGAGACCCAACAACAACCAGCGATGTGTTAATCCGTCTACGTTAGGAAGGCCTAAGACCACACCTCACTCATATAACACCATCTGTGAGGGAATTACTACACCACATGTCCCTCATAACACCATCTGTGAGGGAATTACTACACCACATGTCCCTCATAACACCATATGTGAGGGAATTACTACACCACGTCAAGTCCCTCATCACACCATCTGTGAGGGAATTACTACACCACATGTCCCTCATAACACCATATGTGAGGGAATTACTACACCACGTCAAGTCCCTCATCACACCATCTGTGAGGGAATTACTACACCATGTGAGGTCCCTCATAACATGCTAATTTCATGCTTGCCTTATGTCTCATGAGTTAAGGGCGTAGAAGCCTGAAGAGTCGAGGGCGTAGAAGCCTGAAGAGTCAATGGTTTATGTCTAAGCAAGTTATTGTAAGTTCCAACAACTTGTCCCTGAATACGAATTCGCAACTTTCGACTCACAGCAGGTACCTACTTTGCTGCTAGGTGAACAGGGACGAAGGTGGACTAGGAAGAGTGTCCAAACAACTTCCGCTGGCCCGGGAATCGAACCCGTGACATCTTGCTTTAGCACTGCATTGTACATACAATAGACGTGGAGTTACAGCCCATCCCGAAGAAGGGTGACCATTCTCATCCCTCTAACTATCACCTCATTGTCCTAACTTCATCCGTCTCGAAGATTTTCGAAACTATCTTGAACTCCTATTTTCTCCGTCACCTTGAACGCCATTCTCTTTTGTCGGATCACCAGTATGGCTTTCGCCAGGCGAGACCTACTGGTGATATGCTCTCCTACTGCACCCATCTTTGGTTATCCTCTCTTTGGGATTATGGGGAAACTTTCGTCATGGCCTTCAACATCTCCAAAACATTTGACAGGGTATGGCACAAGTCTTTGCTTTCTAAACTTCCCTCTTTTGGCTTCTCTCCCCCACTTTGTTTTCTAATTTCTAGCTTCCTTGAGAACCGATCCATGGCAGTTGTTGTCAAGGGATCGATCTCTCGCTCTTTTTCTACCAATAGTGGTGTCCCATAGGGTTCTGTTCTTTCACCTACTCTATTTCTTTGTATCAATGATTTATTTCACACTACAACTAATTCTATCCATTCTTACGTTGATGATTCTATTTTTCACTCTTCTTCACATTTTTCCCTTCCTCATAACTCTCAAACTAGATCTTTTTCTAGAACTGATATCATTACATCTATCAATGCGGATCTGTGCAGCATCTTCGAATGGGGAGGTAGAAATTTGGTAAAATTCAATAGTAATAAAACTCAGTATTTACCAATTACACTTTACAAAATACAAGATCTCTCATTAGTCACAATTCAGGACGATATCATTTTGCCCAATTTTAAAATAGATATGCCTGGCCTCGCCATTTCTTCTAATATGTCATGGAAGTCACACATCCTCAACATTGCCAAAGCTACCTCCCGAAAGTTGGGAATGCTGTACAGATGCCGTAGCTACTTCACTCCTGAGCAGTTGCTTCAAGTATATAAGGGATTCATTCGTCCTAACTTGGAGTACTGCTCTCATATCTGGGGTGGCTCTTCTTCTGTCCAACTGTTAGATAGGGTGGAATCAAAGGCATTTCGTCTTATTAACTCTCCTCCTTTAGTTGATATCTTCCTTGCCTTTCTCTTCACCTCAATGTTGCTTCGCTTTCTCTCTTTTACAGGTACTTTAACGGGCAATGTTCAGTGGATCTGGCATCCTGTGTACCGCCGGCAAGGCCGTGGGCTCGTAACACACGCCTTGCCCGCAGTGCCAACCGTTTCTCTGTGGATGTCGGTCACGCTAGAATAACCCGTTATAGTACATCCTTCTTTCCTCACACAACCAAATTGTGGAATACTCTGTCTTCTTCTGTGTTTCCATACTTGTACAATCTGTCTCACTTTAAAAGCTGGTTTTCCGGCATCTTCGTGGTGTAGATTAACTTAGTCTTTTTCTCCTAATTTTGAATTTTGTTTTCTTATCCCCCCCCCGCCACAGGCCCCGTTGTGGGTCGGATTTATGAATATAAATGGATAGATTCGGCTTTGTGACTTTCCAATGGCCTCGGCTTCAGTTCTCGAAGCCGGAGTCTTGGCTTCGGCCCCATGTCTGGCCCTGACAATTTTCTGAAATTGTGACTTCTTCAACCTTAAGCTGTGACTCTAGTGGGGCAGACATCTACCATTTTCAGGTATGAACATCGGACTGAGTAATGCCGTCTGACATGTTTATTGACTTCTGTTAAGTCACCTCCCTTGCCCGCCTGTATAGCGTAAGGTAGGCAACTACAGGTGTTCCAATCTCTCGAGGTAATTTAGGTGCCCGAGTCTGGTGGCTCTCCTCTGGACATTTCGATCAACTGAGTCCCAAGCATATCTCTTAGACCAGACAGTACACCAGGCGGGGAAGCCAGCGTTATGAGGTCTAGGTGTGTGGACAAATTATAAAGTTATATCTTTGTAATTTTTTTACATGTACTGTACTGCTTTTTTTGTCAATAAATTAATTTAAAGTTTTATGATTGATAGAAGTCGAACTGTTACTTTTTTATAATCTTTTATTGTAGTATTTGTACTGTACAGCATTTCTTTCATTTTCAAGTCTTCGACTTCGTAGTGTTTCGAGCGCTAGTGAATTCTTTAGAAGAATTGGCTCTTTTGGAAAATAAAAGACCTATTTATTATTATTGTTATTATTTATTATTATTATTATTATTATTATTATTATTATTATTATTATTATTATTATTATAATAACTGAACAACCTTCTGACCTAGTTGCTTGACTTACCTTCTCACAATGACCCGAGAACTTAAGTTCGTTGTTAATATACAGACTCGGGTCCTTTTCACATTTGGTCTCAGTTAATGGTGTTTCCTCGTCGCGTTGGGACATACTATGATACGCCTCTCAACCGTTGGTAGGACCCAGGAGCATCATTTCGTGACGTTGAATCTGAACAGCTATTTCTCTGACCACTCCTAATGATGACTGAGATATTCCTGTAGCGTTTCACAGTCCATTTTATTCCTAATTTCCTTGAATAACTTGGCATCGTCCCCAAACATTTGTATGGAGAAGTGTATAGCTTTTGGCATATCATTTATGAAGCAAACAAACAACAACGGGCCCAATACACTGCCCTGTGCGCACTCCGCTTGTCATGGGCACACATGACGATTTTGTGCCATTAATCACCACAGACTGCTTGCTGTCATAAATAAAGCTCTGATTTATGCTAAGACGCTCCCTGATTTACGTACACACAGTAATAACAGGAACACCACACAACAGGAACAACACACAATATTAACATTGGTAATATGTATAAGAGGGTCCTGGTCTTGAGCGTCAGGGAGCCAGAGGTACAACTGTTCTATATTTATGAAGGGTTTTCGTCTGATGAACCATAGCTATTGTTGGGACGTAAATGTGTGTTATAATGTTGTTGTTATGGTACAGTTCCAGACCTGGTGGAACGGATGACTGGTGGGACCTCTGGCGGCAGCTCCTGTAAGGCTGATGGTTCCGGTGATGGAGACGATGACGACGGCAGCATGGGGATAAATCTCTTGGACACGGAGACCTCGATGGAGCCTTCTGAGTACCTGCACGACCACCACGACATGAAGAGCCGAGTCTTCCACCAAACCACACAGCTCGCCCCTGATGGTGAGTACAGTGTTAGCTGCACGCCTTGGTTTAACTACCAGGGTCGTAATTCAAAAGAGATTTATGCTCTATAATTTCCCATTAACTGGAGAGTTTACAACACATTTGTGTAACTTCGTCTACGACACAAAGATGGCGACTAAAATAAGGTAAAACATCAGAGAATCTCACCTCCAGTTAGTGGAAACAGAGGACAGACATTAACAAGTGAGAGTAAGTCAATAATTAAATAACTTCAAAATAGTTTTATTAATAACAGTCAAACTTGGCCATAACAGTAGGTGAGGCTGAGGGCAGATGAGGCTTTACCGAAGGCCTTCCGGGTTAGTTGCTGGATACATACTGTACAGTACATCAAGATGGGTATTATATTTCGTGTAGATATTGTACTGTACAGTTAGGTAATGTAATACTCAGTGCCGGATTTAGACCTGTGGAGGCCCATGGGCAGCCTCTTTGTGGAGGCCCCCCTCATTATAACTACCCAAGAGGGTGGGGTGGCGAGTGAAGGGAGCTTAAACGTATGGGAGTTCCGGGGGGCTTACAGCGCCCCCCGGGAAAATTTTGAAATTTGAACACTTCTTTGGAGAATTTTGAAGCCATATGCAGTTATATTGAGGAAATTAGAACATTGAGAAAATTTTAATTAACTGTATATTTATTGATAGTGTACAAATTCCCAACACACACACACACACACACACAAAAGTGAGACATGACTGGAGTCATTTATGTGGTTTCAAGTCGACCAGCCCTGATATAGCTACTACCGCACATGTGGAGGCCCCTGGACAGCTGCCCACTTTGCCCACTCCTGAATCCGGTTCCTATAGGTATGACTGCCCGTTAGAACCAGTGGATACAGCATACATATACTCAACCTTCCCAACACACACAAGGTGACCGGCACTGCACTCCACTGCCTTCCCTTCCCCAGCTGTAAAATTAGGTACAGTAGCCATTTACAGTTGGGTGAACTGGGAGGGCCCCGGGATCGAATAAGTGACTCCAAGGACAAGAAACCACTGAACCCCTACAGTCAGATGAAGAAATTACTATTAAAAGTAAAACAAATAATTCAATACAAATATGTAATTAATAGCTACAGGTGTGTGTGTGGGATGGCTTCTCTCTCAAGGATTGGATCAGGAGTGCCCAGGAGTGGTCACGGGTGGGATGCAGCGTTGGGTGGTGTACAGAGGTAATGGCTAGCCTGAGTCATTCTTGTACACCAGGTTACACCGCTCGATAACTGTGGCTACGGTGGTCTAGAAAGTGTGTTGGTGGAGGTAGTGTGATAGTGGAGGTGGTGGTAATGTGGTGGTGGTAGTGTGGTAGTGGAGGTGGTGGTAGTGTGGTAGTGGAGGTGGTGGTAGTGTGGTAGTGGAGGTGGTGGTAGTGTGGTAGTGGAGGTGGTGGTAGTGTGGTAGTGGAGGTGGTGGTAGTGGGTAGTGGAGGTGGTGGTAGTGTGGTAGTGGAGGTGGGTGGTAACGTAAGGTGGAGGTGGGTAAGTAGTGGCATTTTACAATGGGAGTGCTTGCTGTGGTATCGCAATAGTGACAATGGCAGATAGGTACAGTGTTGATGGTAAATGGTAGTGGGTGGGTAATAGGTTGATGGTAGTGGTGGTGGGTAGTACTTCTATATTGATAGTGGTGGTAGAAAGAGTTGTGGTGGTGATAGTAGTGGTGGTGGTAGTAATGGTGGTGGTGGTGGTGAGATAGTAGTGGTGGTGGTGGTGGTGGTGGTAGCAGTGGTGGTGGTGGTAGGTGGTGGTAGTAGTGGTGGTGGTGGTGATAGTAGTGGTGATGATATTGGTGGTGGTGGTGGTGGTAGTAGTGATGGTGGTGGTGATAGTAGTGGTGGTGGTGGTGGTGGTAGTAGTGGTGGTGGTGGTGGTAGTAGTGGTGGTGATGATAGTAATGTAGGTGGTTGTAGTGGTGGTGGTAGTAGTGGTGGTGGTGTGGTGGTAGTAGTGGTGGTGGTGCCAAGTGCTGACAGTTGCTGCTGCAGCTGCCAAAGGAGTGGCCAGTTGCCAGAGCCATGACAGCTGCTGTGCCAGGCTGGTTGCCAAAGGCCAGACTGCAGACTGTGCAGTGCCAGCTGACCTGACTGCCTGCTGCTGCCAGACTGTGCTGCCAGTTGCTGTGCTGCTGCCAGCCATGTTGCCATGCCATGATTGCCATGCTGTTGTGCCATGACGACGTTGTTGCCAAAGCTATCCTGCCCCTGCCATCCAGCCCAGCCCAAACCAGTTCTGCCAAACCCAAACCAGCCAGTGCTGCCAACAGCCAGCCTGCTGCTGCTGTGACCTGCTGCTGCTGTTGTGGGGATGGTAGTGGTGGTGGTAGTAGTGGTGATGGTAGTAGTGGTGGTTTTAGTGGTGGTGATAGAAGTAGTCGTTGTTATGTTAAGTCACTTGTATAGTTTGTAGTGTTATGTGCTTTATGGGTGGCTGGCCTCTGTTTTTTCTTTGTTGACTGTTTGACAATGTTGGTGTGTGTGTGTATGTGAGGTTCGCAGGGTGCGTGGTGCGTCAGGACGGCGCAGTAATGACACAAGTATTGATTCCTGCGCAGCCCGCAGCCCGCGCTTGGCTCCCCGCGGCACACGAGGCACTCCCACTATGAATATGTTGCAGCACTTGTTCACACCAGATATGATAAGGACAATATTCCCTGCGCTCGCTTCAGCAAGGTTATTGAGTAGCCATGTGGTGCAGCCACACGTATCCTAGTAACTGTTATCTCCCCCTCACTACCAACCTTGCCAGCGTGGCGTGGCCGCGGGAGAGGGTGGAAGGGGGGGCATGGGTTGCTGCGCTCTGCTGTGTGGCGCAGTGTCCACCCCGACCCCGCGCTGCCCGCACCCTCACTCTGCTGCGAGTGTAGCCGCCCCTGCAGTGTAAGGACTCACTGCACCACTGGGGCGCCACCCTCAATACGCCAATAGTGAAGGAGCAGCCCGCCGCGTCTCCCTCACTAGTGACCACCCTAACTGTCCACTCCGCCCACAATGCCAATAACATGAAGCAGTTCAGTAGTGAGAAAATGTTGACATAATTATAGAACAGGAACAAACTCCTATTTGTGTGAACATCAGACTGAGAATATGGTGTTGTGGTCAACAAGACTTAATAAGTAGACAGTGTAGAACGAAGAAAGATAATTGTTAGTGTAGTTGCGTTAAGAGCGTGAGAGGAACCAAGTGTGGTGTTATAGCACTAGTTTGCTCACTCACTCCAGTGTCTCACAAGTGTCAACACCACCACACACTCGTTTGGTTACACTCAGTTCTCCTTATTACCAAACTTCATCCAACACCCACTTTAGTTTCTTCATAATTAAGACTCGTGGTGTGGCCCCCGGGCCCTGTGTTGTGTGATCTTCGCTGTTATCTTTCTCATCACTGAGCCACTCTTTTTCTCCATCTCATACCTCGCCACACCACACGGCTTCCCTTGTCATATTTATAATTTTACAACAATTAATGACTTTTTATTCTCGAAATATTGTATTTTATCATTTTGCTTTTCAGTTCCATAATTTTGTCTTAACTAAAATACGTTTTGATGCAAAAATTTAGTGTTCCGTTATAAAAGGTTCTCCCCGCACCACCATCACCTTAACATATATCAAGGGTAAACTTGTTGCTCACACATCTGCCTAAAACTTTATTAGTGACGTCGCCACAAAAGTGGTGAGACACTTGGCCATGAAAACTGTACGACCACGCTCGCCGTCCCATGCGGCTAAGAACAAGACCCCAGAGGACCGGGTGTGGGAGTTCGGGTGTGTCCTGGGTGAGCGTAATGGTCGTCTTTTGTGTCGGCCTTGTAACCTCGCCCTTGACCACACCCGTAGATCAACCATCGTCGAGCATCTCAGGTCACTCATCCTTATAAGTAGCTACTGAGTGTTAGTGTGGCAGGGAATGCCATGTTTGATGTAGCTGTGAATGGTGTGCAAATGCATTTTCCTATACCCTTAACATTTTACTCAGATTTACACAAGTATTACGTATAAAAACTCGCCTCCCACATAATAAACGTAAGGCAACATGTTTGAGATCACCCTGGTATTGCCCGCGTGTATAGAGCTAAGTAACCTACCTACCCATCACCTATACATATTTTGAACAGACACGAGTGTAATGCAGCACAAAAGTGGTTATCAACTGACAACCTTCACATTTGGTGGTAATAAATCACACTTTTACATGTTTACTTCTTCAGCATCAATAGGTGTTACCTGGAGGAGGAAGGCTTGTGGTTTTGTTCCGTTCTGTTTGCTGCACGTTTTCGTTGTCCAAATTACGCTGATTGACAAGCTTTGATTATTTAATTGGAATCTTGTAACTTTCCATCATTTATCCAAATATATCTAAATTTAAAAGAAAAACTCCACTTGCGTTAGAAAAAATTAATTTATCTTACGTAGTAAATCAGGTATAAGATACAGAGAAGCTTATCTGACAACTTTGTAGCGAGTGTTCTTAGTATGGCCACCACCGCCCGTCCCAGCCATGTGTACAGGACAAGTTATCTTAAAACTTGACCGCCTTTATACTAGTTCTAAATCTGATTCACTGTTGGTCTTGGGTCACAGTCAGAGTTGAATGGTGTCTGGAGGTCTTGGTTCAAAGGTTACTTCCAGGAGGTCATTGGTCTTAAAAGTATTTGTAATAAAGTTGTGTGCATCTTTTAGACCGAAATTTGTTAACAGGTTGAAGGAGAACGTGTTTACTGCAGTGTAGTGATAGTTTTACTGTTCACTGAGTGTTTGTGATCGTTGATTCATTTTTGTTTTTTATTAAAGGCAATTTTCAGAAAATGAGCAACACAAAGTTGCCAATATCTAACAACTTCTAACCTATTAATGCAATTATACCGTTCATTTATTTTAAGGCGTTAACTTATTAAGTAATGTGTTCTTTATCTTGACTGCTGCGTTTACCTCACGTCAATAATTACGGGCCCCTCCTCTTCCTCCCCCCACTGT